TGACAAATGATTTTCATATTTCCGCGAAGAACAAGATACGAATAAGTAAAAAATAGCCATTTTCAGGCTTTCCCGTTGTTGATACATACTTGCAAATCGTTTTTGTACTGTATCATTGACGCGCTTAAACGTTGTATGCTTATTTGAAACAACATTTTTCATTAAAGAACAAAATGGTACGGCATTTTGTTTCTTTGGTTGAAAATACACATTTTGTTTAAGAACGACGAAGACGTTAGTCCGAAAGCTTACCCGCTGGCCAACACTGACCTGTCTCAAAAGTTGCTTGACCTCGTGCAGCAGTCAGTCAGTTATAAACAAATCAGGAAAGGTGCAAACGAAGGTAATTTTATTAATTGTTGTTGCATTTGTATGTATTGCATTGTGATAGTTGTTTTAGTTTTCGTATATCTGTATAACTGTTATTTTATTATTGTTAATTTTTAATATCCATTTATATATGTGTATATGTTGCTATTTTCCTAACGTTGACTAGTTATATTGTTTTTGCATGGCTGATTTTTCAGCAGAACACGAAATATCGATGCAAAGTACTGGTAAGTCGTCCCGTTATCCAGTTTTTTCGTTCTGAAGTCGTGTTTTACGCTGTTTTCTGAAGATCTTCTTGATGTATAGTTAGCTGATCAATTTAGCATAACATGATATATTTGCATATCATTGCAACTGTGAACTACCTATTTCAGTTCATGTCTGAAAGGCTTTTATCTCTCAGAAATTGATAGTTACAGCACTTTGTCTTGTACATTCGAGCTATCTTACAAATAGAAAAAATGATAAATTTTACGATTCTAAGGTACCTCGTCTTTTCTTGTAGACGCCAGAGAATTCTACCTGCTAGCTAAAAATCCGAAAAATGCGCCAATTAGTAATTCGGTTTTCATTGCTATTATCTTTTTTCCTAAGGCAGATGGTAAGCCCTTATTTTCAAAGCAAACCCTTTTGGAGAATGTGCCACTTGTTTGATATCAAGCTGAATTAAATTTTATCCTCACTGTAGAACAGTAATATGACAAAATCGAAGCATCTGTAGTTTTTGTATCATAAACTTGTGTATATCTTTGGAGTTTATCCAGTTTATGGTTTCGGAGTGCTCTCAATGTTTGATGCACTAAAGTCTGTTGAACAACGAGTAAATTGTGATTATGGCATTCAGCAATAATGTGTATGCCAAGTCATTTCGTTCAAACTACCTGTTTACCTTTTCAACCCCCAAAGGTATACCAAGTTTTGAAACCCATATTTTCACTGACATCGGGGTTGTTATTAAATCATTTCTGTTTCGTCGGTAATTTAGGCGCGATGGATTCGGCTTACAGAATTTTTCTGTTTGTCAAGACAGGCGCCAGAAAATGTCCTGTGGTGGCCGAAAGGTATCGCGATTCGTTTTCTGCTGCAAGCAGGGTACAATGTGGTTTACCACAGATCTTCACTTCAAGATTTGTGTAGTTGAACAGATGAATAGGTATAATGGATCTGATTTATGAATTTGCCTTACAACGATGAAGCAATTTTTGCCCTAACGTTCGTTATCCGAAAGAACACAGCAGCACGTGAAAAGGGCGAGAGGTTGACTCACTTCCATCAGCATTGTCTATATTTGCTGAGGTCATCGCGTGGCGTCGTTGCATAAACGAAGCGTCTCTGGTTCGTGATGCCCGCTGCATTCTCAGCTTTCAACGCCTTCAATGCCATGGTGCACTGGTTATGCATAGAATATGGTTTAGAAGGAATAATCTCTCTTAGAATGTATATCCGAATGTACCTTTATGATTATTATGTGCAATTTGGATTTTCAATAGAGAACTATTTTTCTCTGTTTATGTAAGTTGTAATGCTTGTATTGTAGCCACAATGTTAACTTTTGATGTAGCACTTCAGCGGTACTTTATATTGTTAAATAGCTGATAACTATAGTAGAAGATAATATTATGTAAATGAATAAAGTAAAATGGAAATGTTATGATTACCGGCAGATTTGGAAGGCTACAATGTTGCATCTACTTCAGATATTGAGGTTATCTTTAATTTTACACTGTATTCTAATTATATTTGAAAAGTATTCCATTTAAAATATCTGGCGATTTTTTTCAGTCGGAAACAAATCATTTTTTTAAATTAAAATGAATTGGAATTTTATTTTTCGAATTGCGACTGTTCACTTTACGAGCAGCTTTAACGGTATTACTTTTAATGTGAAAGTATTTTATCGATAGCACCGTTATGTAGAATCTGAACTGCCAGATTCAGCTGAAATTTGCTAGTTAATAATCGGGTTATCTGGCAAGCTGATGGATGAGTTCTTTGTAAATAAAGAACTTTGTAAGTAAGCTATCGTATATCAGAAATGATTTTCAGTGAATATTTTGCATTTCAATAGTCATCTAGAGTGCTGTTCCATTTCTGGCGTAATGACACAGTGCCGAAGAAGTCTTCTCAGAACTGTAGATATACCGGATTCGATTCCCCTTCTGGGAAATTATTGTATTATTTACGAATGCCCTTGAGCAAGGAATTTGTCACACATTTCTTCAGACCAGGGTTTCTCAGTCAGTAGAGCGTCGATAGGTATCGGATTTGGACCGTGGTCAGATTACTTGCCTTTCTTTCTTCTGAGGTTGATAAGAAAATACGGCTTTTCAGAGAATATTCTGCACATGGATATTCACTTAAGGTGTTGTTCAACAGCGGTGTTGTAAATCTCTTCATTGGGTAAACCCCTTTAGACATTGAGCTATCATTTATGGATACGGCTTTTTAAGGAATATTTGGACCTTGATAGTCATCGAGGGTGCTGTGCCATTTTTGGAACATGCATCACTAGATAACTGCTTGAATCAGTGAGTTATCATTTATCGATATGGATTTTCGAGAAATGTTTTGCGCTTTGATAGTGACGCAATATGTTCCTTAATGTGTTGTTCTAAGTCACATGATTGGATGAACCCCTTTAGTCAGTTATCCGCCAATCCGAACGCAATATCTGGTAGTGATGAAGGTGTAAACACTTGATTTTGCCATCATTTATAATATGTTGCACAAAGTTTCAAATAGTCCCCCATTAATAATGACGTGGTTGCAATATGATCGACGGGATAACCGAAATTGATCTGTGGCGAAACTAGAGGGGCATGGAGTTGCGTGTTGTGCCAAACTCCCTAGTAACTCCTCAGGGTTGGTCATTCGTTTTAAATGTTTTAATAGTAACGCATATTGACCCTGTTTTGTTTCTTTTTGAGCTGAATCAGACCAGAATTTTAGTAACTAAGACGTTGAATCGAGGGATTGCTGAACTGATAATCATGGCCGCTGATGCAGAACCTATCGAAATCTTGCTACACCTTCCCCTCTTATGCGAAGACAAGGTATGACTCCATTTATTGACGTTTAAATAATAATCTGAATCGTTTTTTAGAATGTGCCGTACGTTTTCGTAAAGTCAAAAGCAGGCAAGATTGTCATTTTTCAGATTATATTATTTTTCAATCGTGTTGGCATATGATTAAATTATTTCATTACTAGTATTTATAGGTTTTATATAATTTAGCTAGTACTCAGTACTCAATAACTCTGTCAAGGCCGGATTTCAGGGGCATATTTTACCTATATCTGAGACGGATTCATACCACATGGCATCCTGTTATTTGAGCATTAATTTTTAGGGAAGGCAGTATTTCCCATGGGTGGAGGAGGGCACATTTTTCACAGTTGCGGCTCTGATGCTGTTCGTTTTTGTTGGTTAACCGCTTCTAATTATTTTAGCTCTCGGCAGGGCGTGCGGAGTATCCAGGCCCGTTATTGCTTGTTCAGTAATGGTTAATGAGGGATCTCAACTGAAACTGCAAATACAGAAGATGAAAGAAGAAGTTGAAAAGTTGCTATTTTGATTAGTTATAGTTGTCTTTATACTTTTTAATAAAGGATTCATTTGTCTTTGTTTGCATTTTTCGTTCTTGCTGTTGCAGCAGCTTTTAACCACC